TTAGACAATAACTTGATTGGGATCTGTCTGCGAACATCAAGACCTCCAAGGGATCCTGAACCATCAGTTCCTTGAAGGTCATCTGAGGAAACATAGACAAGACATCATCATTAATAAGAAATCCACACCAACAAGCACAATACTAAAACTGAAACATTATTCATCTCAAATTAATCACATAATATTATTATCATTAAAAATGAACATTTCATAAAAGTAGGAAATGAACAAATTAAGGAATAGAGACCTGTCTTATCCAAAAAGTGCTCAATAAAAAAAACGGGAGAGGAAATTAAGTATTATTAAACTACAACCATAGTGGGGCAGGTTTCGCTTATACGCAACTTTACATAGTAGCTAATGAGTAGAACTGTGTTCTAAAAAAAAGATATTTGGTTGTCTAATGTGAATGTCTCCTTCGTTTATTTAAATCTGGCACTTGCTGGACCCGCGCGCAGCACTAGTTGGTCATGTCAGCGGCTAGCTGGATACATCCATTAATGCATTTATTGCCAATATACAACAACGTATAAATAGCACCAGGGCTCGCTTGTTTACTAGCAGGTGGTTACCTTCCACTGGAAAGCATGTTGGCTATTTAAAACGTAAAGCTGCAGCAGAAAAACACTTCGTTACATTAGCTTGTAGCTCACCATTTTGGTCCATGACTTGACGCTGTTCATACATATTGCGAATCTGCGATGATGAGGTGGTGGGAGTGGCTTCGTGTGGTTTGGAGTTCAACGTTGCGCACAATTTACGCATATGATGTTTTGCATCATGTGTCGAGTTTTTGTTATACATCATCGATTGACATATGCAACCACCAAAAGTATATAGGAAATAGGATACAGACAAAAGAAAACACTGGAACATACACTTCAAGATAATAAATAAACCACATGAATACAACAATATAAACATTAACAATAATTATTACATTTACAATGAATTTAAAATTTCATTTTTAACATAAAACCCACCAAAAATGTAATATTTTTTACATCAAAATTAAAATCAAACTATATTATATTGTAGGCACATTATATTATACATTCTAGGAGAACCCGTTAAAATTGAACCATATTGAAGCAGTGCAAGAATGTGGTTTCAGATAGTAAGAGAAACATAAAGAAGAAAAAAACTCAGAAACACATTGTGGCTTAGATAGTTGTATTGTTGAAGACGAATAAATAGCTTCTAAAAACAGGTTTAAATATGACTCATACACGCATGCAAATGTTCTTAGCAGAAAAATTTGCACAACAAGAAAAAAAAATTATATTCTTGGTATGCAACCTTCCAACTCAATCATTTCCGGCCAGCTTTCATACTTATTAGTTTCCCTGTCATTCTTCAAGTGCTGAAAAATACAGAAAAGGGAGACGCATACATTAACCATTTTCAATGCATAAACTTAAGCACATAAATGGGCGAATTTGGGTTAAAAATGGGTTACCTTCTCAAAGGAGACATGGGTTAAGGTTTTCTTCCCTCCCACAAAGATCCAGTTATCTCTGAATTTTATTTTGGAAATATATGAACTGCCAAGATCTGCAATAAGTTCCCTTGCTTCATCATTAAGTCTATAATAAAGGAAGCATAAAAATCATGACATGAGACAACACCATCATAAGATGTGAATGTAGTATATGATGAAACTAAAAAAAAAAAGAAACTTACTTTGTGGCTGGATCATCAAAAGAGGCTATCAACACAAGAGAACCATCCTCAATTGACTTCAGAAACTCTATCAACTCCTCAACCTCTGTCAACAGCAAAATATTTATGTATTACACATATGAAAAAAGTATTTATAATGCAAAAATATTGAACAACGTGGTGTAATGAAGTGAAGACACAACATACTTCCGTTCCACATATTGAAGATGCCAGTCTTGACGTGTTCACCTGTTTTTTCTGAAATTTTAATGAATAAGAAAGAAAACCTATTACACTCTGGCAAGAAATGAATGTGAACCCCTAATTAACTGGTTTTCTGCAGTAAAATAGCATAAAATGCATTCTTGGTTGAGAAACACCCCAACCCAAGCGCTCTCTGATAACGTGATTATTGCGTAACTCCAAATCTTCTTTCCGTCATCGTATAAAGCCCTGGCAATTTGATTGGCAGGATCATTGAACCGATCATAATTACTCCCAATCGATCGAGTCCAGACCGAACTTCTCGACTAAAAACATTTGTGGGCGAGGTTCGGGCTGGCATCCAGGCTAGCAAAAAACCAGTTAATTCAAAGGGGTTCACATACTTTTTCTTGCCACAAAATATTTCAAAATATTAATACTAAATACAAAACTTGGTGCCATTTTTTTTAAAAGGCCTCGACTTACTTACCATTGATAACAGCGATATTAATTCCTGGCCAATTACCACGCGTGTCTTTCTGTATTATCCTAAAACAAAATGCAGAACTGGTTTAAATTCTGTCAAATAGCACTTATGGTGTTGATATAATCAGTCAGTAAAAGTAAAAATTTACATTTTTCCCTCAAAGCATATTTGTGGACCAATGATGTTTGTTGCACCGCTGTAAATCTTAAAGGCAAAATCTTTTCCAGGACATGGTTTTGGGAGGCCACATTTGCTTTTAGGACCTGATAAAACATAGATGTAAATATTTACCCTTTAAGTATTTTTTTACACTGTACCAGACCAGATTATTCGGAAATTGCTTACCATCATTTTTGTGATCATCAGGTTTCCACGGGCTATAAACTCCTCCCCCCACTGACCTTTCTGGGTTTAGAGAAAAATATAAAACATACATTGTTCATCCTATGTATTAGTAGGAATTTTAAAGAAGCTAAATTAATAAATTAAATATTTTGTTAAAAAAAAATCTATAGATTAAAATAAAATAGTCTTTAACTCACCCACTAAATTTGATACAGTTAATTCAGGATTCATCTGCAGGAGCTTGAGGACAAAGCTTATGGATATTATGAGGGCAGCCACCATGAAAATAAATTTCAATTTTTCTGTGAAAACAATTGTGATTATAATATATACAATTCTCATTTTACCATAATTTCCATCTTTGTTCGTAGATTTAATGTTTGTACAGCATCCTTTCAAAAAGTGGAACAAAAGTTTAAAAATGTACTGTCTCCTCTCCACCAGTAAGCTGGTGTTTGGTGGGCGTTCTGGTGCAACATGGCTGCCGTTAGCATCATCCAGGTGGATGCGCACAGTGGTGGTGGTTGAGGAGATTCCCCCTTCCATGTAAAGCGCTTTGAGTACCCAGAAAAGCGCTATACAAATGTAACAAATTATTATTATTATTTACTGATACTTTTCTGATGGTAATGGTCATTAGTGCCTGAGACCCTATTGGTAGATTAAGTCTCGTAGACCACCTTGGATCACTAACAAAACAGCAGTTCTCATGTCAAAACCTGTTTGACCACTTTAAGCAGACATGCCATGTTTTTATCAGCAGGAACAAAATTCAAAATTCAACCTAATTTCAATTTGGTTGGTTTTCATTGAAGAACATTCGGCTACTCAAAAACGTTAAAGGCTGAGAATAAAGTGGTCTATGCCAAGTAAGGAAACATTTTCATTCACAGTCACTTTTCAAATGTAGCTGCTACTGCTTCTGCATTGTGACAGAAAATAATGTGACCAGGAAACACTGCACTGCACGAGACATCTAGAATGTCTTCAAAAACATAACTTACTTTTGCCTCTCTGTCTCCTGTGTACCACAAGGGGACCAACTAGAAGTACAAATGTCAACATTAACATGAAACATAAGAGAAAGAGAGAAAGAGCGAAGAGAAGCAAAACCAACCTCTTCTAACGTATATCATGATGACTGAAATGTTCGGCTGTGCAGATCCAGTAAGTGAAGGTGTAAAGAGGTTATTCAGCACACCACATTAGCAATCTATCAATTGATCACTTTCTATAAAAAAAATATATATATATATTTAGAATTAAATATAAAAAATATATCTTGTCCTTGGACTGCGGATGTAATTTAATAAAGTTGATCTAGACTTTAGACTAGCCTATGTGTAAGGCTGACTAATGGCAGTGCAAAGTGCATTTAACCCATATTTCTGTCCAACTTGATTAACTCGTTCTTTAGAATTATGGCTAAAACGCTTTGAATCCAGTTTGTCAACTTTAATGTCAATAATGACGTCTGCCGTCGTTACGACTATTTCCTTTTAAATAGACGGAGACCTATTAAAATAAACACATAGGCTAGAGAGATAGGCAAATATTTTTAAAAAGTAGTATAAAGCAAGCAATCTATCCTACTTATTTAGAAGAAAGATTCCCCTCGTGGGTCCATGCATTTTTCATTCCGTTGTAAGAAGAAGAGGGAATTAGTGTGCCAAAAAGAAGACTATTGGCCATTTGTGGACACCGTAGTCTCGTTGGCGTGGCCGTTCAGCGAGTACGCACTACGCCACCGAACCGCTAGATGGTGGTGTCGAGTCGACTACAGGAGCACTAGCACATATATATTATTTTTCTTGAGTATTAATTTATAGATCGGATACATCGGAGCTTTATAAGCTGTACGAAATAGTTTCAATTGAACTTTAGAATCTGGAAGTCACATTGTAAAAAAAATGTTTTATAGCTCCACTTTTTTTTAAAGACTTGATGGATTTGCAAACCAAAATGAATGCAAAATGAATTTAGCCAATGAAATTTTTATATAATATAATTCTTTGTATGAGTTCTTAACCGCATATTTGACTCATAAACTCGCTCTTAATGTTGCACGTCTCCAACTCTCCTGAGCTATTTCACTCATGGCTCTATGTTTATTTTAAAGTCCCCTGTGATGAAAATCAAGTTTTTTATGTTGTTTATATGTCTATATGGTGTTTGTAGACTAGAGCTTTTAAGACAAAACGTGCAATTCTGCTGGACCAGATCATGCGGATGTTTTTATTTTATTATTATTTTTTTATTATCATTATTAACAACCACATGAAATACAAAGAACAGAACAAACACCAGAGGAGACAAAAAGAAAGGGAAACAAATTAACAATAGTAAAAATAATGCAAGAGAGGATAATCACATACATAAAGGAGATACAAACAATGGCACTTTAAAATAATAAAATGTTACACAATTTTAGAAGGGGATTTTAAAGAAAGCACAACAAGACAATTTTTTCCTAGCTTTGGACTTCTCAGAAATAGAAAGCGTTTGAAGGTGATAAGAAAGACTTTGAATAATGGCTAGATCATGCGGATGTGTTTTTAGCTTTTAGCCAGTTTTAGCTAAATGACGTCATAAAGATGCGCCATGCTCCTGTATCTGATCTGCATCTGATGTGAGTCGTCTGAAAAAAGGTTTGCGGCTCTTGTCGTTTAAAAAAGTTTTTAAACCACAATTTAGTAGTTTGTACAATAACTGTGATATGAATTAATAAACACTGAACATTATTGAGGTTTATTTTTATCAGTGAAGTGCATAGGCACAATAGGTGTAAAGGTTTTTACTGTCTATTGGTGCGTCTCTATCCTGAATTAGCTTATCATAAACGTGAGTCAAGTCACTGACAAGTAACAGTTAGTGATTAACATGACAAATTGCTCAAACCCACAGAAAAACTCTTGTTGAAGCGACTGAGATCTACATGGCACACTATTATAATGATGGCGCTCATTAAAGAGGAGAGTGAAGATATAAAGATTGAAGAAACACTCCGAGTGAAAGAAGAAGATGATACAGAGGAAACAGGTTGGTTTTATTGTCATATCTGAAAAAACTGAACTCAGAATCTGTCTTGTAAACTCAACTTTGTTTCCAAACAATAAGATTGAAACACATTAGTGTGGCTGTGGGAGAGACATCTATATAATGAAATGTGGAAATGCAGGGATTGCTGTTTTTATTTTTTTCAAGGTCTCAAACCTTCTGTCAAAACAGCTTTATAAAAAATGTATTCAGTGATTTATATTACAAACTGCTTTCATATTTGAATTATTATCATAATCAAAAACACCCTGAATTGTAGTGCAAATTATTTTACCATTTACTGCATTTTGTTATTGTTCCACATCAGAGAAACATCAGTAGGCTGTAACAGTTATGGTCAGAATTGTCCACGTTCGTGATTGCATCATGATTTGGATCAGCCTAGTTCAACCTAGCAAAGACAAAATAGGCTACAGAATATTTCGTTCTGTATTTACAGGTGCAATATTTGAAATATTCTTATTTTTTTATTACAATTATATATGAATTTGTCAAAACCAATAGACTTTCAAACATAAAAATGATTAATATGTATTCATGTCAAAATTACATATAGCCATATTTTCCTATTCCATTTTGCTTGGAAATGCTTCCAACCCACTTGCTTGTCACGTGAAAAATATGCGTCGGTTCTGTTTCTATGCACACGTTTTCGCCGCGGCTTGTTAACCTTAATCAAGCTCTATCTAACCTGTTAACCTGTTAGCTAAACCATGCTAACGTTTGTCAACAAATGCCAGCATAATTCTCAAGCTATTCGAATGTTGTGGTCGATGTCTTCGAAAGATCCAATAGCTTGTTGGTTTTGATGGCAAAATGGCATTAACTTGTCTTTTTTTTGCGTTAGACCCGATGACACTGAAAGAGGAGGGCCAAGAACTGAATGAAATAGAAGAGAAATATCAATATGAGAAGCATGATGTCACAAATAGAGAAAAATCCATACAGACTAAAACGAGTTCCTCACGAAAAAGAGCTCAGAAGATGGGCACCGGGAGCTTCTTCACCTGCTTTCAGTGTGGAAAGAGTTTCAAACAACATGACAGCCTTCGAGCCCACATGGGAATTCACAATGGAGAGATGCTTTTCACCTGCCAACAGTGTGGAAAGAGTTTCAATCAAAAATATGACCTTGGACTCCACATGAGAATTCACAATGGAGAGAAGCCTTACAAATGCGAACAGTGTGAGAAAAGTTTCACTTACAAAGGAGGCCTTAATTCCCACATGAGAACCCACACTAGAGAGAAGCCGTTCGCATGTGACCAGTGTGGAAAGAGTTTTTCACAGAAGCACGTCCTTAATTCCCACATGAGCACTCACACTAGAGAGAAGCCTTTCGCATGTGGTCAATGTGGAAAGGCTTTCAAACTTAAAGTGAGCCTTAAAAACCACATGAGGATTCACACAGGAGACCACCGTTTTACATGTAATCATTGTGAAAAGAGTTTCTGCAATAAAGATAGCCTCACGAGGCACATGACACTTCACACTGGAGAGAAGCCTTACAAATGCAAAGAGTGCGGCAAAAGTTTCACACAGAAAGCACTCCTTGTTTCTCACATGAGAAGACACACTGGAGAAAGCCCGTTCACCTGCGAACAGTGTGGGAAGAGCTTCGCACGAAAAGGAATTCTGCAGATTCACATGAGAATTCACACTGGAGAAACACCATTCTCATGTGATCAGTGTGGGAAGAGTTTCAATCATAAATCATCGCTTGATTCACACATGAGAGTTCACACTGGCGAAACGGCATTCAAATGTGATCAGTGTGGAAAGAGTTTCAATAATAAATCAACTCTTAATGCGCACATGAGAGTTCACACTGGAGAGAAGCCTTACACTTGCGAACTGTGTGGGAAGAGCTTCACACAAAAAGGAAATCTTAAGAATCACATGACCGTTCACACAGGAGAGAAGCCGTTCGTATGTGTTGAGTGTGGGAAATGTTTTAGACGTTACTACGGCCTTAATTTACATATGAAGATTCACTCAGGAGAGCAGTGTCCTCGTTGTAGAAAGAGATTCCCAGACAAGAGATGCCTTGACAAGCACAGAAAAGTTCACACTGGTGAGAAGACTTTCAGATGCCGTCACTGTGGAAAGAGTTTCAACCAGAACACACGCCTTCAGGTTCACATGAGAGTTCACACTGGAGAGAAAAGTTTCACATATCGAGACCTGAAGCATCATTTGCAAACTCGTTCTAGAAAGAAATCGCAGGACTCTGAATGTGACAAAAAGACTATAAAAGTCTACAAAAGTCTGAAGTCTTCAAAAATAATGAGCGGTTTCAAAAATCACCTGCGCATCTACTCTGAAGAAAGGCAATTTGAATGTGATAAGTGTGATAAAAAATGTAATTTTCCATCACACTTACGGATACATCTGAAAAGTCATGCGGATATCAGACGTTATTTTTGTTCTTTGTGTGGAAAGAGATTTAAATGGCTTGGTCATTTAAAATGGCACCAGAAAACACGTATCTGTGTGAAAATAAGGCTACGGTCGCGTGACAGCTGAATGAGGGACTGATATCATGAATACAAGAGAATATTGGGTACATCGATACAAGAGAATAGAAAAAATGTATATTAAAAATGTATTTGCAATAAAAAGTAATATATCTCTAGATCAAAAGACTTTACAGATGTGTGCATTATGTCCTGTACAACTGTATAAATACAAATATGTATTTACGAAGTATCTATATTGCCTAACTCAGATGGCAAACATGTAATAAGAGTCCTGAATTATATAAAAACTGGCAGTAATTGCTTGCAATTTAAAGGGATACTTCAGGATTTAGCATTAATGCTTGTATTAGTAGAAAACCTGTAGTATTTTCGAATTACCGTGCTTTCCATCCTCATATCCCCCTCAGACGAGAGATTTATGTATTTTATGTCTGGAAAAAAAATCCTCCAATGACGGAAAAAAGCCTCTGCTCCACTAAGCTGTATTTTAGTCTGTTAAACTAACCTGAGCATCGATTTCATGGATTTAACGTAATCTACTAGAGTTAGTAATTTCTGAGTAAGTTTATATGTAACAATTTATTAACATTCAGGAAATGTATCATGCCAATTCAACCAATCAATTCAAAGATAATCATTGCAAAACACCAAATGCTTAGAAATACAGAGTAAAAAATACATAATGCTGAGTGTCAGGAGTACATCTGGGACTGATCTGACTACAAATCATGCCTTGAGCCTCTTCCAATTGTAAGGGTTGGTTCAGACCCAGGTCCAGATATGATGAAAGAAGACCAGGAGTCGTGAATTTCAATCAAAAAAAGTCACATTTACTGAATAGTATAGTTTGCGGTTAAATTGGTAGAGCCAGAGTCAAAGTCTCACGAAGAGGTCGCAAGCTAACTCTACCATACACAAAAATAGTACACCAGTTATACCATTTCCAAGGGCATACATTCCATAAAGATTCACTTCTGATTGGCTAAGAGAACATAAAGTCTAAACAATTATACACTTATGAATAGATATAGGAGTGTGTTGACATCAATCAAGATTATTGTCTTCTTCAGGCTTACCCTCATTCGTTTATTAGCTTCAGACATACAAAGAGCCTGTATTGACGGTCCTCGCCCAGGGCCACAGAAGATTAGTCACAGACACCATCATACATTTAGAAAGATACTAGCAGAAAGGCATACAACAAAAGTATACAACAAAATCACTTATTGCATTTAGGAATGATTCTATAACTTGATTAGTGTATATAGAAATGATTACATAACTTGATTAGTTCTTGTTAGGAAAAAGGATATATTTAAATTGAAGAGGCAAGGGATTTTGACCCCCAACCCTTCACAATATTTCTTAACATACTCAGACATATCTCTAAACTATTAAAGCCTTTTGTCATCTTTTGGTTTACTTCTGTGGGGATGAGACCAGTCGCAAAGACATTTCGAATGACACCAAACATGTATTTGTATGATACTTTGTTTGAAAACTGTGTTTGATAGTTGTTCACGTTATATCGATTTTTGGCATAGGAGATGAAGAGATGGGGAAGAGGGGGTGAAGGGAAAGAGATGTAGATTAAGACAATACTAAGGTGATCAACACCTGCGTTAGGTTTAGTAATGAGACACGTGTGTGCCATTAGGGATATGTCCAGGCAATGAGTTATGGGAAATGTGGTTGTGAGGGAATCATGATAGTCTGATGTGGAGTGCTGGTGACCGTTGCAGCATCAGTGTACACAATCTTATACATACATCTCTGGCCCTCAAAAATTCGAAATATATATTTTATTAGCATTTTTTTTTTTACAATTAAATGAGCCCAAAAAATAAGTAAATGTCAAGTTAGAGCTATAATCTTAAGTTAGACCAACTTGTAGATAACGCACTGAGGCATTTAGCTATTTAAAACAAATTTTGTCGGCCCTGCTTTAGCCAATTTTGTGAGTAACAAAAAAAATGTGGGTTTCTGTATGTATATTTTAATATTCTGAAGAAAACGGTATATAGGTTTATTTATGGAAAATGTTTTTTTGTTTAGAAGTTGACACATATATTATGTGAATTTTCAGATAATACCCTCTAGTTAATAGAAAAAGTGTTAAGTACTCCCTGAGCAGCACTCAAACGATCCCGGCGCTCTCGTAGTTCTTTGCGCTTTCTGCTGACATCAGTCTCCTCGGACAGGAGCTCTCTCACATTTGCCCCATCCAGTAAAGTCAACATGTCAGTAGACAGGTGCTGAGCAGTCTGCTTCAACATGAAAAACAAGATCATCATGGGCAGTTGGTCAGCCATTCGCTGCACCACAATCTGAAAGAAAACAGAGATACTAAGTTACTTCCACCTACACAGCACTGCTATATGTTTCTCAAAACTAAGAAGACATACCTCATAATACGCCTCCAGCATTTTACTGTACTTGCATTTTTTGTCAAAGCCAGGTAACTGATCTTCTGAAAACTTCTCATTCGTAATCTCATTCAAGAACTTTAAGTAGGTGGGATCTTGAGTGTAGACCACGTTTTCCATTTCAAACTGCTCTGAGATCCTCTGCTCCGTCTTTTTTTGCTGGGTTAACTGAATGTTGTGGATTTTGTCCTGTGGGCAAAATGAAAAAGTAGAGAGAAAAGAGAACTTGCATAAATGGATTAAGAAAAATTAGTTTTTCCAACCAATTAGGAGCAATATTTACCTTAGCTATCTTTTGAAGGACAGAGTAGTTCCTGAAACACTGACTCACCACGTCAGTCAAATGTGTGATGATGATGTCTTCAGGAGAAAAACATCAAGTGAAGAAGACAAAAAGACACATTTAATAATGTCATTAAATTGGTCATCTAATCTTTTGGATTTATAATGGAGGCTCTGAACAATAACCGTTAAGTCTTTTGTGATGGTACCTTTGATGGCACTGAGTAATTCAACGGCTGGCTTCTTAAGGTTGGCCACATGTTTTTGCAGAAGCGACTCAAACAATTTGTAGTTACTGAATCCGAGCAGTTGCCTCCCTCTCTTAGTCTGGCTCAACTCTTTTGAATTGCTGACTTGTTTGGAAACAAAATGGATTTCTTTATGAAATTTACTGACTTTTTCATTTTAATTAGAACTCTAAGAAAACAACAACAGTGAATTCATAGGTGTAGCATGTTTTAAATACTGACAGGTTGTTTTTGTGCTGTTAAGATGATCATTCCACTTCTTGAATTGAGCCCGAAGCTGGACGAACAAGTTTTCCTTACTCATATCTTCCCCTGATGATAAGGAGTCGATTTGCTCACCGAATCTTTTTAGGATCTGTGAAGAATTTTTTATTTTTTAGTTTCATTAGCCTTTTACAATATCATCCAAAAGTGAATCTTCTGAGTAGGTAAAAGAGAGAACATTTTCATGGGCTGTTCACACAAGACAATTTAAACAGAATGAACCTTGCTTTTCAAACATTTACTTCTTTTAACTTGACGTTAAGGTAATTGCGAAATATTACTCACAATTCTGATTAAATTTTATCTAAGAATTGTGAGTTTGTTATTCTGACTTTTTTTTTGCAAACACACAAAAAAAATGTATCGCAATTGTGATTTTTTTCCCCTGTATTCTATGTTCTTTATCTTTTTAAAGGGCTGCTAATTTTATGGATGAAAGGATCTCTCTGTTTCACAAAATGGAAATTAAGAATTGTTTACATTCCATTTCATAGGGTTTCGAGCAGCAGTTTTTGAACCCCTAATCATAATTCTCCTAAGCAAGAAGATGTGATGATTGAGGTCCTACTTCAACGAGGAACTGTTTAGCTGCCTCAAGATCTTCTGGTGGTCCAGTCTCGTAGTCCTTAAGCTCATTCTTCACGTCCCACAACCTTTCTTCAATCCTCTGATTGAGCTTTGGCAGTGATTTCTGACAAAGATAAAAACAATTTGGTTCTAGTTTCTCACAAACCACAAATGCAGTTCACCAAATTTAGGACTTTTAGTTTTGAGATATTTAAAAACTTACTTTGATATGATCAACAAGATTCTGAGTCAGCTTTACAGCAAGACATTTAATAGTCGCTTTATCCTCATGCAAGAGATCTCTGTAGAAAAAGAGAAGGCACTTAGTTTAGATGGGGCTTTAGCTCGTATGGCCTACTGTTGCTTCACGAAAAAAATAATAAAGGATAAAGTGAACATCACAAAAATCTAACAATAGTACATTTTTAGGTTTTGGGGGAGTTACAATCTGAACAACTAGCTTGGCCTTGTCACATAAAGGTGAAATATACCTTAATACGGTCTTAAGTGTTTGCAAGGCTACTTTCTGTGATACATTTTTTTTTGTTTGCATGTAGTTTATGCCATATGTCAAACTTTTTTTCAAGAATATTAATAAGCAGCGAAGCAAAGATTAAAAAAAAGAAATATTACTAAAAGTTTATGCCAAACTACTTCTAAAAGTTTAATTATATTCTTTTCAGTCTGTAACCTGAAATAGTCATGGTTTTGGAAGAAATCTCTCTCCATTTGTGTCGCCTCCTCCAGAGGAATGTTCTCATCGATCTGCCGTTGTCCTCTACACTTCACCATGGTGTAACCTTTGCGGAGAGGAATCACTTTGTTGTGGACAATTTTCAGTATGTCCTCCTCTGTTCCCTTGTCTATGAGATCTGGCTTGGTCAAAATAGCTGTGAGAATGAAAAAATGTTTTTGTATTAAGTGAAGTCCTCAAATCCTCAAAGATATTTGATGTTTTTAGATGATGTGCAGATCATCTGCTTCATTACCGACAGTCCTTCTGCCCTTAGGATCTACTTCTTGTGCCATTTTTAATGCCTCTGTTGTTGCAATGTCAATGTTACAAGGGACCACCACCAGGTTTATAGTCTCTTGCTTCTCAATAAATTTCATAATCAGATCTTTTATCTGTAAGACATGAAGACGCAGCTTTAAAACTGGATGTCATGGTACAAAAATGTGGTGTGCAAAATCAGATTATGCTGCTCACCCGATCTCCAATATCTTGGGGTTGTCCTTTTACTGGGACTCTTGCAATTCCAGGTAGATCGATCAGTGTGAGGTCACACACATCTGGTGACATGACCTCTAAAGTGATAAGGTCATCACATATTCCTACCCCACTACCTGCCAGCTCATTCTGCGCTGTAACAAAACACACGCTGCAAAATTACCGTCTCGGTTACAAATGTAATCCTAATTCCCTGAGTAGGGAACGGAGACGTTCCGCCTATCAGCTTCGATCAAAAACGAGCCAATTTGCATAGCATATCTCTGCCTCACCTCGTGAGTATATAATGAGGACGCTGGCAGCAAAATAGACATGTTTCTTCGCTGAGGAGCCAAGACTGAGGTCAGAGGATCACCGCGGCACATCGGAAAGTGGCAGGAAGACGGAACTCCGTTCCCTACTCAGGGAACGAGGGTTACATTCGTAACCGAGACGTTCCCTCGGCCATGTGGAATAAGTCCGAAACTTTTGAGTTGTTATTACGAGAACATGGGTGCTTTTTACAAGTTGGAATCTCATAATAATGGTAATTACGACATGGCGTGCATGCACCTATAGAACACCCTGATATTCAAATATCAGGGTGTTACTAAAGTATGCAATATGAGTTCTTATGTGCAGTTATATGATGAACTGAAATAATACATTTAGTTGACTGAATCAGCATCCGAGACAACAGCCATCAATTTTTAAGACAAAACTAATTTTTATATTTATTTACTGATTGGGATTTACAATACGGGTGCACTAATAAGCATTAATTCATGCTTAACTAATGTACAGATAATACTGAATTAATGTGTAACTAATGATTATTTAAGCTATTCATTAATGATTACCACATTAGGAACTAATTAAGAGCCTGTAAGGTTAATGTATTAGTTCATACATGAATTGTTATTAATTAAATATGTAATTGTGGATTAATTCCATATTAACTCATTTTTGTAACTAATAGTATTAATTAATATGTTAATTACCAGAATGAGCCAAAGCCTTGTATTTCAACTTCCAGATAATATGACAGGTAAACTAATATGCATTAATACATCATTAATTACTTCATTGTTAGTGCAAATTCATGTGCAAATTACTACAATTACTAAATGACTAGATAATAATGATGTGCCCCAACAAGTGAAGTCATAGCATAATGATACCTTTGCAAATCATTAGCTAATGATTAATTAAAGCAGACAACTGGAAGTTGAAGTGCATAGCTTTGACTAATTGTGGTAATTAACACATTAACACTATTAGTTAAGAAAATATGTTATTAAGGAATTAATACACAATGACACATTGAATTAATAGCAATGTATGTATTACTTAATCTATTAATCATATTGAATCTTTATTAGTTGCTGATGCAGTAATCATTAATTAATGGTTTAGTTCTTCATGAGTTATACATTAACTCATGATTATCTGTGCATTAGTTAAGGATGAATTAATGCACATTAGTGCACCCGTATTGTAAAGTGTTACCAAATTTTCTAGTAACTCTAAAAAGAAAGGAGTTTTCCTGCAGATTTACTTACCTTCTGTAACATGTTTTTCTACTAATGAAGGATCTCTAAATTCAAATTTCTTCAAATCATATGTTGAATGTGCTATCTTTCCATTTGCCAATTTGCTGGATTTAATAGGACCTGCAAAATTTCATAATTTTAATAAAATAATAATATAAAAACAAGTTAAGAATGCAAAAAGACTGCAATTTATAGACCTGCAACAAATGGCAAATCCTCAGATTCAGTTATCTTCTTTTTGTAGGATATAACAGCCTTCCACTTGACTCCACTATTAACCTTCTTCAGCCTCAGCTCTAGTGGACATCTGGTGACAATTCCTATTGCAAACACAGTTCAGTTAGCAACCAAGAAAACTGACAGTGGAAAATGTTGTAAAACAGTGCATGTGCTGACAAAAAGTAGTCATTCTTTAATTCTTTACCACACCATGGTCGATAACGATAGCGTTAAAGATACTGTTCTAAAAAAATATTGTATGTAAATGAATAGCAGAATCCAAACCACAACTATATAACGGCACAGAAAAAAATATATTGTTGGAATAACTTTCAGAATGTTTTTCCTGTTGATAAAAATCAGAATCCATTCTAGACATTTTTGTCTTTTTCAGTTTTTTTTTATCACTTTGCCAACTGCATAAACTATGGCACAGGTGTGTATTTTTATTGGATTTTTACTTTTTCACCCCCATTTTCTTTAAAAAAAAAATCTATTTTGCACTATTTACACAAAATAGTTCCTCTCAGCTAGCCTGGATGCCAGCCCGAACCCCGCCCACAACATTTTTTGGTCGGGAAGTTCTTTAAGAGCTTTAAGAATAATATATTGTGTAAATCGTAGACACCCCTCCCAACTGTTGTTTGCTCAGGCAAGTATTCTTAGTGTTTATCAAGTGAATCAACTTCAAATTGCTCTATTCGTCTACAGCTCTATAAAAAAGTTACTTCCCCAGTACTTTTGCAATCTTCTTACACTGTTAGACCTTACCTGTTTTTTTACAGTAAAATACTGGCAACACTGTTGCCAGTAATTTACTGTAAAAATGCACTAAAACTAATAAGTTGTATTTTTTAGTTAACTTGAGTTTTAGTGCATTTTTACAGTAAATTACTGGCAACAGTGTTGCCAGTATTTTACTGTAAAAAACCTGGTAAGGTCTAACAGTGTACTTTTAATGATGAACTTCACCAGTATCCGACTCGTAGTAGTTGTTTTATTAGGCCTCCTTATTCTAGTACGACTCAAACAGAGTTTAGTGTATTATGCAGAGGGTCAACGGTATAGAACAGTCTTCCCACATCACTCATTGAGGCTTTTAAAGAGCAGTTTAAACAGAGAGTAAAATTGTTGCTCCTAAATTGTCTGAATTTTCCATATGGGTTTGTGCTCTAAATGCAATTGTAATTTTTTTTATATAAATAAATATAAACATATTTTTATATAATAGAAAGGTTTTTAATTTGTTAAATAAAATTGTTTCTATGGAAATTGGCACTTATTAAGCCCCTTGAGGGTTTTTCGGCAATTGTCCATCACATCTTTTTGCTGTCCCTGTCCAGGGACAGCAGATGTAAAATAGCCTACTGGCTAATTCTGGCACACTGTACATTTAATCATGTATCATTAGTGTGCATTGTCCCTGTTAAATAAACCTGAAATAAATAAATAAATAAATAAATCTTTTTGTGAAACATATTACACTGTTTTTGATCTATTTGTTGTGAAAAAAATAAAAAGATGTCATAGGTTTTCTGTCATATACCTTTGCTTGTACACTGAAACAACCGGCTTGCTGGCTTGAGTGTGGACGTGGAGGTTTGCGACTAGAATGTGACGTAGTAAGACAGATGTGAGAAAATCATTGCATGCATGTAAAAGAAGGCAGGCTTGATGAGACAATTCAAGTTGGATTTGACCGTTTTACAAACATTTTTGATTTCACTTTGAAATTTGAGGTTGTTGTCAAGAATAATTCCAAGATATTTGGTGTCTTTTCCTTTTTGAATAATTTCATTGTTTATGCTTACTTCAAAGGTGCTGTCTAAAGGTCTTGTTTTAATTGAGAAACAGACAGCAACGGTTTTCTTCACGTTTAAGGTTAGGTGAGACGACTCGAACCATTTATAAATGTCTTCTAGGGCAAGTGTCAACTGCTGCACTGCCAGAGCTGAGGTTTTAGAAGACTGTATCATCTGCATACAGCTGGCATTTGGCTCCTTGACAGCTATCATTGTGTACATTGTGAACAACAATGGCCCCAGTACTGATCCTTGAGGAACCCCCAAGTTGTTAGGGCAAATAGCTGACATCCCCCCCATTAACCTTAACGCACTGTTGACAGATCATGATTATAGGTGAGAGTAGGCACATGGATTGACCGGTAAATCGAGAGCTTCACCTTGCAGTTTGGCTCCTTCTTCACCTCGACAGACTGGTACATCGACCGCATTACTGTAGAAGCTGCACCCATCCGCCTGTCAATCTTAATAGCTTACGGCCATACAACTTTGAGCACGCCTGATCTCATCTGATCTCAGAAGCTAAGCAGGGTCGGGGTTGGTTAGTTCTAGGATGGGATACCACCTGGGAATACCAGGTCCTGTAAGCTTGATCCTAGGAGCTACAGTATGTTGTCCTGGGCTATATCCCCCTGGTAGGGTCTACCAAGGCAAACAGGTCCAAGGTGACGTTTCAGACTATGGTGGTTCACATACCCTTTAGTTTGGAAGGAAAACCAAGGGCCGAGACGTCGCACGGCATGTCGCAGCCGGGGGCCCTGGAGCTGGCCGGGCTCAGACCGAAGGAGGGACATGGTCACCACCTGAGGGAGGGACCATAAGGAGCCGGATTTCATTAGAAATAAGTTTAATAACTTTTTTTGTTTCACTTTTTTCCACTTTCTTAACTGCAATAATCTGCCAAGGGTCTTCTTTAAAATAAGACCAAACTTAAGTCTGTGCTTAAGCTTAACATTTTTATGACTAATCTGGCTCCTCAAAACCTCACAGAGCTGGTGACTGAACACAGACCAATTAGACTGCTCAGATCACAGTCTAATCAAATGTTAAGAGTACCCAGGTCGAAGCTGCAATGTAGGGGTGACAGAGCCTTTGCGGTAGCTGGCCCCAGGCTATGGAACAAATTGCCCTTACATATTAAAACAGCGTCCACAGTGTCGGTGTTCAGAAGTCTTTTAAAAACCTATTTGTACTCCTGTGCGTTCAATGTTTTGTGAAAGTTGTTTTTATGTGTTTGATTTATGTTTTTGTTTTCTTATTTTATATGGATTTTAATAGATATATTCTGTATAGCACTTTGGTCGACCTATAGGTTGTTTTAAATGTGCTTTATAAATACAATAAACTTGAAACTTGAAACTTATGACATGTATGTTTTCGTCCACCATGAACCTATGTAACTTTTTTTCTATTTTGTAAAAGCCAACTACATGATTTTGGCACGGCTGCATATTTTTATTGGAATTTACTATTTCAGCCTCATTTCCTTTAAAAAATATACTTCGCACAAGGTACACGAAAAAAAAAACCTCCTCTCAGCGTATTCCATTGAAATGCATTAAACCTGCAATGTTTATTCTCGAGGTCATTTGACTATAAAATATTGAAATATTTGTTAAAAGGATTTCATTATGTTGGTAAGGCTTGAAAATGTAAAGTTTTACTTTTTTTTTTTTTTACCAGACGGTGCCATTTTCTCAGATTTGCAAATAACAAATCCAACCACTGTTAGTCAGGGAGCCAAAGTCTCAAAAATGGGTTGAACCTGACATGGTCTGCCATACTTTTTATTTGTGTTTTTTCTTTTAACTTTGACCCTAAGAACAAATAATTGGAGGGTCTGCTCTGCCGGAAATATCGCGAAAAAAAATTGTGGCCATTTTAGTGTACGCACCCTTTATTTTTTATCAGAAAAATGTGAAAAATCATTTTTTTCATCAAATTCTTAGTGGGTTGGGTAGGTTCTCAATAAATGCATTCCAGATACACAGAACACATGTGTGGACAACATCCACTGAAAAAATAATTCTTAAAACACATTTCTACATGATTTCGCATCAATTTAATGCAAAAAACAGGCGTTTTTTTCACTTTTTTTTCCACTATTTTCATCTTTACTTCATTGGCAATCAACTATTCCCTTAAGTTATGACATCAGGCAATATGCCATTCTTTTCACCAAACACTATACTCATTACACAGAAAAAATGATAAAAATCCAAACAAAATCAATGGATCTGTGATGATTTAACTACTAGTTGGCGATCAACAGGCTCAGAATATCAATAGAATTTTAGACTACTCTCAAAATTCTTAAAAACATGCTGGATATTTAGCATCATGGCTCACTTACAAACACACACACACACACACACACGTGATCTTAGTAATTTTTATGAGTTTGGAACAACCAACCAACGGTTACCAACGGTTACCAACGGACTTCGAAGCTGCTCATCATTGTCTGTGGTAGCCTAAGTGATAGTGACTAATATACCGGTAGGTCTGCCCCAGAGTTTTGGGAAAAGAATGGTAATATGGATATTGTAATGGTAATTAACTGAAAGGACCACACCAGTCTTCAAATATTTCTGAAGATTCCTCATCCCAAACATATCCCTGTAGAAGCAGCATTCATTCTCTACTAGTTTACTTAGCTAGCTTTAGCCGTTTTAGCTCATTTCTGTGGTTTCTTTAAACGGAATTACTCCTCTCACGTATGGGGTAGAGAGTAGAGACTTACTTTTTTTAAATGCTCAGAATATTATGCTCTAAGAGAGGTATGTGTCCTATATGTTCAATAAGATTCGACCAGAAGTTGAGAAATTGCCAAAATTTCAACGGGACTTGTTAGGTAAAGAAATAGATATGAGAATAAATGCTGCTACAGGGATTCGTTTGGAGCGAGGAATCATTGGAAATAAACTTGTATGAAGCCTGGTGTGGTCCTTGAAGTGTTTTTCATGTCAGACAAATAGTAGGCTAGTAAGGATAACTAAAGGCTACACTAAACGTTAGCTGCCATTAGCAATTAGCTACATGGCTAGTTGTTACATTCAGGTTTAGAAAGTTTACCTAGTTAGCTTGTGGCATGAATGGCCACACAGACAGAAAAAAACAATATATAGCTATATTGGATATCAGACTGTATACAAATGTTCAGTAAAATGTAAACATACTATATAGTATGCATAGTTTGTTTTTGTATATAGTACTGTACAGTATATAGAGTGAGTGATTTGTCAAAAGCTAGTTACCTAGTAGTGTCAAACATCTATATTTCTTTCACCCGAATGCACAATATTTTCCATTGGCAGATTTGGTTCTGATCTTATTGGGTTTGCTGTGGAGGAAAAGGTAACGAGAAGAGAAGGCATCAGACGATTGGAAAGGACTGTAAAGTGGAGGATTGAACAGAAGGGAAGAGTAGAATGAGGAGAGTAGAGTAAAGAGGACAGGGGTGGACTGAACAAGAGAGAAGAATAGTAGATGAAAAAAGAGGAGTGAATTGATCATTTACATTTATTAATTTAGCTGATGCTTTTATCCAAAGTGACTTACAATTGCTATATATGTCAGAGGTCACACACCTCTGGAGCAACTAAGGGTTAAGTGTCTTGCTCAGGGACACATTGGTTTCTCGCAGTGGATTCAAACCCCGGTTTCTCACACCAAAGGCATGTGTCTTATCCACTGCGCCATAACCACCCCGCTCAGTGATGATCAGATGTGGTTTGTTGGTGCCTTGGGGAAGAAGGGACCACAGTTGATCACAGTTGCAGGGATGGTATCTGGGATGAGAAATGCTTGAAATGATTTCCATGTAGGAGCAGTGCAATTTGGTTCCAGGTCCTCCAATAGTTTGTTGGTGACTTGGGGAAGATGGGACCATAGCTGATCACAGTTGCGGGGATTGTATCTGGGATGAGAAATGCTTGAAATGATTTCCATGTAGATGCAGTGCAATTTGGTTCCAGGTCCTCTAATACCTTGTTGGTGACTTGGGGAAGATGGGACCATAGCCGATCACAGTTGCGGGGATGGTATCTGGAATGGTAAATGCTTGGAATGAACTGCCATGCAGTGTTCGTCCATCCTTTGTGTACTCTGGGAAGTCAAGGTTATCGAACTGTGTGAATTGTCCATTGTGAATTGTTCGTTGGTATGAAGGCACCATCCCTAGTTGTCTGCTCTTCAACTGCCATTGCCATTGTTGTAAAATATATGTACTTCTTTGTAGCTGATGCTGTTCCTAAATCTATTTAGAAGTGACACAGTTGACTTCTGGTTTCCTTAACGGCTATCCCAACGTGTTTCGGTGTTGGGATCTTGGCAACTGCTTGACAACTGCCAGACATCCTGGGCAAGGTTGAGAACTTGTTCTTGCTGCTTAGGACTAACTTTCACCCGGCCGTCTTCACCTAACTCTGGAGTTGCATCTGTTATCATCCATGCCAGGTGGTATAACAGCTCAATCTTTGGGATGCCTCCAGGTATGATATCTTGCTGCAGTGTCGGGTCTTCAGTCATACTGCCAGCGATCTGGTGACTTCATCTGGCTTGAGCTGTTCTGGCTTGTCTTGCTTCCTTCAGGGCCTGCTTACGTTGGTCCTGGAGTTCCTTCTGTATTCTAGTTGCAGTGTTGTAGGAAGAGACTATGGTGTCAACTCACTTTCTTCTTCATATTCTGCAAGTATGCAGAGTGTGATGGCGCAGTGGATAAGACACATGCCTTTGGGTTGAGAGACCCTGGTTTGAATCCACTGCGAGACACCAATGTGTCCCTGAGCAAGACACTTAACCCCTAGTTGCTCCAGAGGCGTGTGACCTCTGACATGTACAATTGTAGGTCACTTTGGATAAAAGCGTCAGATAACTGTAAATTAGTATTTCTTCTTCATACTCTGCCTCTTCCGTTTTCTCCTTAAGTTCCTTCAACTTTGAGAGCATGCAGCCAACATTAATTTTTTTGCTGAGCAAATAGAACATACTTTCTGTGGCACAACCATTATTTTAAAAATACCACCTACTTCATAGTGCCTTCTAAGGTGGGTAATCAAGGACTGATATCTGTATGAGGTAACATTGTGAACTCCATGGCTTTCCAAGTATTTATGGAATTCATTCCTCAAAGCTGTAACGAAGAATATGGCATTCAGGTCTGGATGCTGGTGCCATAGGGTGTCCCGTCTCTGAGAGAGCAGATCCTGGGCCAGGGAGGGGCTGTCGCGAGGACCACCAGTTCCGGGAACCAGATCCGGTTGGGCCAATACAGCGCAACTAACAAGACCTGCTCCTCGTCCTTCCTGACCTTGCACAATGTCTGTGCAAGAAGGCTCACTGGGGGAAACGCATACTTGCGTAGATCCGGGGACCAGAGAATAGAACGAGTGGTAGTGAGAATTGTCCGGGGTGGTAAAAAGATAAACCTGTGGGGTCCACATTGAGGCCTGGATGGTGGCTGCTGCTGGGGCTTAACAGGAGTGGAGGATGCCCCAGGAGGTCGATCTCAGTGACGAGCAGATGGAGGGTCTGCGACCAGTGAACGGGTGGGGCAAAGCTCTCAACCACGTTGCTGAATAACCCAACCTGGGACAGAGGGGCATCCAGGAACCGATTTTTAATGGTGTCCCTCATATCGGCCAGGTTGAGCCAAAGGTGGTGCTCCTGGACCACCAAGGTGGATATCGACTGTCCAATGGAACGTGCGATTTCCTTTGAAGGGGGCAAGACAGCCGAATCCTCATCTCCAGAGGACTGAAGTTCA